GCCACCTCCTGTCACCTCGTCAGCCGCCCCTGGTCACCCCGTTAACCTCCTTCGATTACTCCGTCAGCAACCTCCGGCCACCCCTTCACCGCGACACCGTTACGCAATCAACGATCCCACCCAGAGCGTGACGACGCCGCCCTTTTGGACCCCGTCGCTAACGGCACTTGCCCCAACAGTCTTCTAAGGCTACACGGGGGATCTTTGTCTTTGTGTCCGAGTGTGTGCAAAGGGAGCGGTGGGCTAGCGGTTGGCGCGACTGCGTTACGAGACCCGGCCCTGCTCACGGCCAACACCGGTGACGATTATTTGAAACGGTTCTGGGCCTCACCTAGGTCTACTCAGCCTTAAATGAGTGCCCGGTGTGGTGTATAAATATCGCCACTGGGGAGACAAAGGCGGCCGGGCGTGGTGCTGGCCACCCACCCCCTCGTGTGCCGTGCCGGCCTTCATGGGGCGCTCGCTAGCAGCACTTTCCCCAACAGTCTGTCAAGGCTACACGGGGGATCTTTGTCTTTGTGCGTGTGTACGTGTGTGTGAGGAGCGGTAGTGTAGCGGTTAGCGCGCTGCGCTACGAACCTGGCCACCCGGGTTCGATACCCGCTCACGGCCAACATCAGTGACGATTATCTGAACCCGTCCCGGGCCTCTCCTAGGTCGACTCGGCCTCAAATGAGCACCTGGTGCGGTGTGTAAACATCGTCACTGGAGAGACAAAGGCGGCCAGCCGTGGTGTTGGCCACCCACCCCCTCGTGTGCTGTGCCGGCCTTCATAGATGCTCGCGAACAGCACTTGCCCCAACAGTCTGTTCAGGCTATACGGGGAATCTTTGTTCTGCGTGTTTGGGATGAGAGCGGCACAGGTGGTGCGTCTTCCAGCCATCTCGGTGAGTCAACCCAGGGCACCCTGGCTCTGTCCCCGTGACCTCCTGCCGGCAGCGAGCCGTCGACGCCTTCCACGTGGCCGCGAGGCTGCTCCGCGGTGACGTCACCGTCACGTGGTGGCGAATGGCGCCCGTTGGCATTGGATGGGAGCGGTGGATGCGTTGGTTGGCGCGGCGCTCCGAAACCCGCGGCGACCCGAGTTCGATTCGGCAACGCGAGTTCACCCACCCACCCCTAACCCACCCACCCCTCCCCGATGAAGTTCGCGGGCACGCGCCTCCTTGTTGTGGACGCCCCAACGCAGAAGATCAAAACCCACGGGGGGGGGGGGTGGTTTGATTTTCCACGAAAGCTGCTCGCGAGTTCCAACCTCCAAACCGCATCGTCCACTGCACACAGCCAATGGCAGCGGCAGCAGCGGATAGCCGATGCCACAAATGGACCGTTAAATAAGTATAACCCGTAAAAACAAAGTTTTTCACTATAAATCCTTTATATGCGTGGCGGCTAGAGTCCTCTCGTCTTCTGGCTTGAGATGGCTGCCACCTATGGGTCAGATGATTGTCTGCCAGTATTAATCAATTGGTAATTAAATATTCAATTTGTTTTCCCTAAACAGTGTAACATTGTGGAATTTTTTTTTCACAAACATTAATTGTCTCGCACAACGAGTCTGTGTGCAAAATGTCAGCTCGATTGGATCACGGGAAGTGGGTTAAAAACGACCGAAAGATTTGCACGGTCCTAAGCAAGCACGCAAGCAAGCAAGCAAGCGAACTTAACATAAAGGATTTAAAAAGAACACTCTCTGGCAGTGTGAGGTCTGTGCGTCATCCAGAACAGGGCCGTAAGTACAACGCAGAACAACGTCACAGAACCCTATTATTATATTTATTATCATATTTTGGTACTGGCAAAGGAGGTCTAATGATGTACTTGCTTAGCCCCGAGCCCTCGTTACTCTGATAGTGCATTGTCTTTGAGCTGTGCGCCTTTTGGCGTCCTCTGGTCTAGCACCAATTGAGACGAGGCTCAAAAGAAAGCCGTCTCTGGTGTGGACCAATCAGTTTCATGGACAATGCAAAAATTATCAGTGTGGTTTTTTTGCATTTTGACCACAAGTATTGTGGTTAATGCAGGTATGATTCCTTGTAAAAAGGTTTCAGTTTTGTTGCCAAAAAAGGGGAAAACCCCTATTATTATTATATATAACCTTGTTGTAACTGCTCTCTCGCTGGTTCAGATGTTCCACTGCTGGATTAATTTTTTTTCCGCCTGAGGACGACCGCTTGTGTTGCGATCGAAACGTCGTGATTCATTTTACGTTATACCTACGTGACCTTACCGAAAGAACCAAAGAGTATGAGCCCATGACTCGTTTTCATCACACGCCGAGTCATAATCTCAACAACATAGACGCATAGATACTCATAGAGATACATAGGAGATACATGGAGACTCGGTTAAACGTGGGCTAGTTATTGCCCAATCCAGCTGACTCAAGAACGTAATTAACTAACAAAGACCCCCCCGTATAGCTTTAACATACTGTAGGAGCAAGTGCTGTTAGCAATTCACACTTAAATCTTGACTTAAAGCTTTCGTGACTGCAGGAATTCAAAGAAAATAACAAAAAAATAACAAAAACTACGACGTTTCGCTCGCAACACAAGCGTTCATCATCAGGAAGAAAAAAAAAAGATGGGACAGCTGCTGAGGCAGTCTTTTGTAATTTTATTTGAACCTAAATACGTGACTTTACCGAAAGACCCAAGAAGACGATTCACACTTAACACATTCCTGCAGAGGGAGCTGGTATGAACGTTGGGTTGCTCGGTCAATGGCCAGGGTCAACGGCGGCGTGGTGTATTCCGCAAATATGGCCTACTGTGAGGGCGGGCACAAGCCGGCGTGAGCAGGTTAAACGTTGAGTTTTATAAGGGCACCACGGGGTGACCAGCCCCTCCCCTCCCCACCCAGCCCCACCCCTCCCACCTCCCACCCATCCCCACCCTCCTCTCCCCATCCAGCCCCTCCCTCTCTCCCCACCCAGCCCCTCCCTGCACGACGGACGGACGGACACAATAATCCCCTGTGGGCTGGTGTAACATGGAGGTTTCTACCAGTATAAATACATAGAAATACATAGAGACTCATAGAGATGCATAGAGCATCATAGAGATACATCGAGACTCATCGAGATACATAAAGATATATAAAGACCAATAGAGATACATAGAGACACATAGAGACACATAGCGATGTATAGAGACTCATACAGACTCACAGATATACATAGAGACCCATAGATATGCATAGACTCGTAGAGATATGTAGAGATGCGCTTCGATATATAGACTCAAAGAGATGCATAGAGACTCATACAGACACGTACATATACCTTGAGACTGGGTTAAAAGTGGGCTCAGTATTGCCCAATCTTGGCCAGCTTGCTCAAAAAAAATTATTAACTAACAAAGACACAGGTCCCCCGCATAGCCTTCACAGACTGTTGGGGAAAGTGCTGTTCGCGAGCACCTTTGGCACACAAGGGAGTGAGTGGCCGCACCACACCGGGCCGATTTTGTCTCCAAAGTGGCGAAGTTTACACACCGCACCAGGTACTCATTTTAGGCCGAGTCGACCTGGACCCAGGACCGGTTTAGCAGGAATCGAATTCATGTCGCTAACCGCTACACTTCCGCTCCCGCTAATCTAAGACGATCAAACACACACGCGCCAATTCCTCATGAGATGTCAGTGTGTGTAAGTGGGTGAGTGGGTGGGTGAGTGGGTGAGTGAGTGAGTGGCTGCGTGAGTGGGTGAGTGAGTGAGTGAGTGGGTGAGTGAGTGAGTGGCTGCATGAGTGAGTGGCTGCGTGAGTGGGTGGGTGAGTGGGTGCGTGAGTGGGTGAGTCGGTGAGTGAGTGAGTGGCTGAGTGACTGGGTGAGTTGAGTGGCTGAGTGAGTGGCTGAATGGGTGAGTGAGTGGGTGAGTGAGTGGCTGAGTGAGTGAGTGCGTGAGTGAGTGGCTGAGTGAGTGGGTGAGTGGGTGAGTGAGTGGGTGGGTGTGTGAGTGGGTGAGTGATTGAGTGAGTGATTGAGTGAGTCGGTGAGTGAGTGGCTGAGTGAGTGGGTGCTTGAGTGGGTGAGTGATTGAGTGAGTCGGTGAGTGAGTGGGTGAGTGGGTGAGTGAGTGTGATTGGGTGAGTGTGAGTGGGTGAGTGATTGGGTGAATGAGTGAGTGAGTGGGTGAGTGAGCGGGTGTGTGAGCGGGTGGGTGAGTGTGAGTGAGTGAGTGGCTGAGTGAGTGGGTGAGTGAGTGGGTGGGTGCGTGATTGGGTGAGTGATTGAGTGATTGAGTGAATCGGTGAGTGGCTGAGTGAGTGGGGGCGTGAGTGGGTGAGTGATTGAGTGAGTCGGTGAGTGAGTGGGTGTGTGAGTGGGTGAGTGTGAGTGGGTGAGTGATTGGGTGAGTGGGTGAGTGAGTGGGTGAGTGAGCGGGTGTGTGAGTGTGAGTGGGTGAGTGAGTGAGTGGGTGTGTGAGTGTGAGTGGGTGAGTGAGTGAGTTGGTGTGTGAGTGAGCGGGTGAGTGATTGGGTGAGTGAGTCGGTGGGTGGGTTGGTGAGGGAGTGAGTGACTGTGTAAGTGTGTGAGTGGGTGACTGGGTGGGTGAGTTAGTGAGTGTGTGCTTGTGTGAGTGAGTGGGTGGGTGAGTGGGTGAGTGAGTGGGTGAGCTTGTGGGTGGGTGGACGAGTAAGTGAGTAAGTGTGTGGTGTAAACTCATGTGCATCACATGCCGAGTCATAATCTCAACAACAATCAACTCCCACAGAGGTCGTGCACGAGCTGAGTATGGGAGAGAGAGAGGCAGAGAGTACACGCTGGTTACGACTATAAGCGAGGGAGCGAAGTTGTAAGCATGCGTGTTGAACTTATTTCGCACCTCACGAAGCCAACAGTGCTAATCGCGAAGGACAGACATTTTCTGGATAAGAGAGTCCTAGATAAGAGCGTAACAAATGACAGGAGCGTTCTGCGTGACCAAGGGCAGTACTGGCGAATTGGTGATAGGCGAAATGTCGCGGAGTTCGCTGGATCGCTCGCTCGCTTCACCCGCATTGGAGAGTCGGAGACTTGTAGTAGACGTAGCAGATCCCCAGGGACAGGAACACGGCGAAGATGAAGAGTACGGGAGATCGAGTCGTCAGCATGGCGTCGCGTGGACGAGGTCCCCGGGGAATGCTACTCCTTGTCTCTCTCTGTCTCTCTTGGTCACCTCGGGAGCGTCGTCACCCCGCGTGAGTGAGCGGTGAGCGGGGGGGAGTTGTGGGGAGTTGGGTGTCGCTGTGAGGTCGGAGAGAAGAGTGAAGTTGTGGAGGGAGTGTGGTGGGGGTGGTGGTGGTGGTGGGGAGGGGAGTGGGTGCCTGAGCAGTTGCGGAGGGGGGTGGGATTGATTTGGGTGGGAGGGGTTGGTGAGTGGTTGTGATGGGGAGGGTGAGTGGCAGTGATGGGGAGGGTGAGTGGCTGTGATGGGGAGGGTGAGTGTCTGTGATGGGGAAGGTGAGTGGTTGTGATGGGGAGGGTGAGTGGCTGTGATGGGGAGGGTGAGTGGTTGTGATGGGGAGGGTGAGTGGCTGTGATGGGGAGGGTGAGTGACTGTGATGGGGAGGGTGAGTGACTGTGATGGGGAGGGTGAGTGACTGTGATGGGGAGGGTGAGTGACTGTGATGGGGAGGGTGAGTGGCTGTGATGGGGAGGGTGAGTGACTGTGATGGGGAGGGTGAGTGACTGTGATGGGGAGGGTGAGTGTCTGTGATGGGGAGGGTGAGTGACTGTGATGGGGAGGGTGAGTGGCTGTGATGGGGAGGGTGAGTGGTTGTGATGGGGAGGGTGAGTGACTGTGATGGGGACGGTGAGTGACTGTGATGGGGAGGGTGAGTGACTGTGATGGGGACGGTGAGTGACTGTGATGGGGAGGGTGAGTGGCTGTGATGGGGAGGGTGAGTGGTTGTGATGGGGAGGGTGAGTGGCTGTGATGGGGAGGGTGAATGGTTGTGATGGGGAGGGTGAGTGGCTGTGGTGGAGAGGGTGAGTGTCTGTGATGGGGAGGGTGAGTGGTTGTGATGGGGAGGGTGAGTGGCTGTGATGGGGAGGGTGAGTGGTTGTGATGGGGAAGGTGAGTGACTGTGATGGGGAGGGTGAGTGGTTGTGATGGGGAGGGTGAGTGGTTGTGATGGGGAGGGTGAGTGGCTGTGATGGGGAGGGTGAGTGGCTGTGATGGGGAGGGTGAGTGGCTGTGATGGGGAGGGTGAGTGTCTGTGATGGGGAGGGTGAGTGACTGTGATGGGGAGGGTGAGTGTCTGTGATGGGGAGGGTGAGTGTCTGTGATGGGGAGGGTGAGTGGCTGTGATGGGGAGGGTGAGTGGTTGTGATGGGGAGGGTGAGTGGCTGTGATGGGGAGGGTGAGTGACTGTGATGGGGACGGTGAGTGACTGTGATGGGGAGGGTGAGTGGTTGTGATGGGGAGGGTGAGTGACTGTGATGGGGAGGGTGAGTGGTTGTGATGGGGAGGGTGAGTGACTGTGATGGGGACGGTGAGTGACTGTGATGGGGAGGGTGAGTGGCTGTGATGGGGAGGGTGAGTGACTGTGATGGGGACGGTGAGTGACTGTGATGGGGAGGGTGAGTGGCTGTGATGGGGAGGGTGAGTGGCTGTGATGGGGAGGGTGAGTGGCTGTGGTGGAGAGGGTGAGTGTCTGTGATGGGGAGGGTGAGTGGTTGTGATGGGGAGGGTGAGTGGTTGTGATGGGGAGGGTGAGTGGTTGTGATGGGGAAGGTGAGTGACTGTGATGGGGAGGGTGAGTGGTTGTGATGGGGAGGGTGAGTGGTTGTGATGGGGAGGGTGAGTGGCTGTGATGGGGAGGGTGAGTGGCTGTGATGGGGAGGGTGAGTGGCTGTGATGGGGAGGGTGAGTGTCTGTGATGGGGAGGGTGAGTGACTGTGATGGGGAGGGTGAGTGACTGTGATGGGTAGGGTGAGTGATTGTGATGGGGAGGGTGAGTGGCTGTGATGGGGAGGGTGAGTGGCTGTGATGGGGAGGGTGAGTGTGATGGGGAGGGTGAGTGGCTGTGATGGGGAGGGTGAGTGGCTGTGATGGGGAGGGTGAGTGTGATGGGGAGGGTGAGTGACTGTGATGGGGAGGGTGAGTGGCTGTGATGGGTAGGGTGAGTGATTGTGATGGGGAGGGTGAGTGGCTGTGATGGGAGGGTGAGTGTCTGTGATGGGGAGGGTGAGTGTGATGGGGAGGGTGAGTGACTGTGATGGGGAGGGTGAGTGGTTGTGATGGGGAGGGTGAGTGTCTGTGATGGGGGAGGGTGAGTGTCTGTGATGGGGAGGGTGAGTGTCTGTGATGGGGAGGGTGAGTGTCTGTGATGGGTAGGGTGAGTGATTGTGATGGGGAGGGTGAGTGTCTGTGATGGGGAGGGTGAGTGTCTGTGATGGGGAGGGTGAGTGTCTGTGATGGGGAGGGGGAGTGTCTGTGATGGGGAGGGTGAGTGGCTGTGATGGGGAGGGTGAGTGACTGTGATGGGGAGGGTGAGTGGCTGTGATCGGGAGGGTGAGTGGTTGTGATGGGGAGGGTGAGTGGCTGTGATGGGGAGGGTGAGTGGTTGTGATGGGGAGGGTGAGTGTCTGTGATGGGGAGGGTGAGTGTGACGGGGAGGGTGAGTGTCTGTGGTGGGGAGGGTGAGTGGCTGTGATGGGGAGGGTGAGTGACTGTGATGGGGAGGGTGAGTGGCTGTGATGGAGAGGGTGAGTGGTTGTGATGGGGAGGGTGAGTGGCTGTGGTGGGGAGGGTGAGTGACTGTGATGGGGAGGGTGAGTGGCTGTGATGGGGAGGGTGAGTGACTGTGATGGGGAGGGTGAGTGGCTGTGATGGGGAGGGTGAGTGGCTGTGATGGGGAGGGTGAGTGACTGTGATGGGGAGGGTGAGTGGCTGTGATGGGGAGGGTGAGTGTCTGTGGTGGGGAGGGTGAGTGTGATGGGGAGGGTGAGTGGCTGTGGTGGGGAGGGTGAGGGGTTCTGGTGGGGAGGGTGAGTGGCTGTGATGGGGAGGGTGAGTGGCTGTGGTGGGGAGGGTGAGTGGCTGTGGTGGGGAGGGTTAGTGGCTGTGATAGGGAGGGTGAGTGACTGTGATGGGGAGGGTGAGTGTCTGTGATGGGGAGGGTGAGTGTCTGTGATGGGGAGGGTGAGTGTGATGGGGAGGGTGAGTGGCTGCGATTGGGAGGGTGAGTGTGATGGGGAGGGTGAGTGACTGTGATGGGGAGGGTGAGTGGCTGTGATGGGGATGGTGAGTTGCTGTGATGGGGAGGGTGAGTGACTGTAATGGGGAGGTTGAGTGTGATGGGGAGGGTGAGTGGCTGTGATGGGGAGGGTGAGTGACTGTGATGGGGAGGGTGAGTGTGATGGGGAGGGTGAGTGTCTGTGATGGGGAGGGTGAGTGTCTGTGATGGGGAGGGTGAGTGTCTGTGATGGGGAGGGTGAGTGTCTGTGATGGGGAGGGTGAGTGGATGTGATGGGGAGGGTGAGTGTGATGGGGAGGGTGAGTGTCTGTGATGGGGAGGGTGAGTGTCTGTGATGGGGAGGGTGAGTGGTTGTGATGGGGAGGGTGAGTGGCTGTAGTGGGGAGGGTGAGTGGCTGTAGTGGGGAGGGTGAGTTTTTGTGATGGGGAGGGTGAGTGGCTGTGATGGGGAGGGTGAGTGGCTGTGATGGGGAGGGTGAGTGGCTGTGGCACGTTGCTGGTGCTACGAACCCGGCGACCCGAGTTCGAATCTGGTCCTGGGCCTCCCATAGTTACCTGGTGCGGTGTGTTAACATCACCACTGGGGAAATAAAGGCGGTCAGACATGGTGCTGACCACCCATCCCCTCGTGTGCCATGCCGGCCTTCATAGGTGCTCGCTCGCAGCACTTGCTCCAACAGTCTGTTAAGGCTATACAGGTGGAGTGTTCTAATTCAGAGACAACCAACATGCATCCAGACCCACAGCTTGAAGAGGCGAAGATCACGATGACATCAGCATGTCGAGTTCCATTCCCGATGGTAGCAGCCCCGACTGTGAGTCGGAGCTCGCCTTTTATTCTCTCCAGCGTGACCGGGCTCCGCCCTCGGCCACGCACCCTTCTGGATCCCCCAGAAGCCTCCGGGCTTGGCCCACGGGTCCAACTGGTAGAAGGGGATGCTACCCCTAATTCCATTGTCGACCAATCTCCCAGCGCCAGCCGCTACAGTGACTCATTCAATGTCACTACATCACCCCCTCCCCCGTGAAAAAAACAGCCGTGCTGGCTGACCTTTACACATCATGCAGTGCAGTGGGACGATGAAGCAACAATATCCACGCAACATTCGCAATGCATGGCAACAATCCAGCCCCCAAAATAACAGCAACCGAACGACGATTCGGGGTGGTCATCTGAACCGAACTGTCTTGGAATGGTACATGTCGCCCGCACCTCAAATGGGCCCAGCACGGGTCCTCTGGGAACCCTGGGGATAATCCGAGGATGGCCCAATGGGCACGGTCCTTCCCGGGACGAAGATGGAGGAAGAGAAGAAGTGGGTGGAGGTCGTCCCGTACACCCTGATCCGCCTGCGGGTGGCGCCGCCGGCAGTTCCACGGGCGTTAGGCCCTGGGATCCTGCAAATGGAGGAACAGAGCTTCGCCGAGGCGCATCATCCATAACCATACGTCCGGCTCCATTGGACACATCAAACACCCGGACATCAGATTGTGGAGATGAAACGCCCTCATAAGGTAGTAAATAGGGCTTCAAGTCGTGACAGGTGCACATACCAACGCCTGCGACCAACATAAATCTGCACACACTGCGGCCTCCTCACCTCAATTACCTGCACCGGGCCCTGCCATGGTCTATGTAATTTAGGAGACGTGCCTAGAGGCACTTGGGGGCAATGCAGCCATGCCCTGTCTTCAGGCTTACACGGGTTTCCGGACTCCTTAAGCCCAGCCAGTTTTTCATTCTCAGCCTGCCGCTTGGCCGAATTGCCACGAGACGCCTCCTGTGCTTCAGTGAACCACTTAAGGGTGAGGCTCACAAGTCCCGGCACAGTGGCTCTCTTCTTGCTCGGTTCAATATTTAACTGGGCTTCCATGGGTGGGGGTCACACTCTCTCCATACATAAAACAACCGGGGAGAACCCGGTAGAGGCATAAGGGGCCATCCTATAGTCCACAAGAACCCCCGGAACGTGTAGGTCCCAATCAGACTATGCCTCATTGACTTGTTGGCACAACATGGACGTAAGAGTTTTATGTAAACGCTCTACCAT